ATGGATATATCACAGTTTGGATATATCACAGTTTGGATACATGGATATATACCAGTTAGGATATATGGATCTATTGATCTATCCCAGTTTGGATGTATGGATCTCTCCCAATATGGATATATGGATCCATGGATCTAACCCAGTCTGGATGTATGGATATATCCCAATTTGGATCCATGGACCTCTCCCAGTTTGGATATATGGATCTCTGGATCTCTGCCAGTCTGGATGTATGGATATATCCCAATTTGGATGTATGGATCCATGGATCTATCCGAATTTGGATCCATGGATATATTCCAGTTTGGATCCATGGATCTCTGCCAGTCTGGATGTATGGATCTGTCCCAGTCTGTATGGATCTCTCCCAGTTTGGATCCATGGATCTCTCCCAGTTTGGTTGTGTGGATCCATAGATCTCTCCCAGTTTGGATGTATGGTTTCGTGGATCTATCCCAGTTTGGATCCATGGATCTCTCCCAGTTTGGTTGTGTGGATCCATAGATCTCTCCCAGTTTGGATGTATGGTTTCGTGGATCTATCCCAGTTTGGATCCATGGATCTCTCCCAGTTTGGTTGTGTGGATCCATAGATCTCTCCCAGTTTGGATGTATGGTTTCGTGGATCTATCCCAGTTTGGATCCATGGATCTCTCCCAGTTTGGTTGTGTGGATCCATAGATCTCTCCCAGTTTGGATGTATGGTTTCGTGGATCTATCCCAGTTTGGGTCCATGGATCTCTCCCAGTTTGTCCCAGGGCTCTGTGAGGGATGGGCCCTGTCCCGTTCCAGCCCTGTCCTGGGCCTGTCCCATTCCAGCCCTGCCAGGAAGGGGCCTGGGGGACCCTGGGCTGTCCCTCGCTCAGCAGAGAGCCCTGGGGGCCAGTGGTGTCCTGGGGTTAATGAATTGGTAATTAATTAACTCATTGTCCTGATCCAGCAGCCAGGGAGGGATCCCAGCCCTGGGAGCAGCTCTGGGTGCTGTGTCCAGCTCTGGATCCTCAGCACAGCAGGGACAGCAGCTCCTGGAGCGGGGCCAGCTCAGGCTGTGAGGATGAGGAGGGCCTGGAGCATCTCTGTGCCCAGCAAAGGCTGAGGGAGCTGGGGCTGCTCAGGCTGGAGAGGAGCCCCAGCTGAGAGGGGCCCTCAGGCCTGGCTGTCCCTGTGTGCAGGGAGGGGCAGAGCAGGGCCCAGGCTCTGCTCCAGGCCCAGCAGCGGCACCAGAGCCACGGGCAGGGCCTGAGCCCAGCACTGCCCCTGCCCAGGAGGCACAACTTGTGCCCTGGGCAGTGCCCAGCCCTGAGCAGGCTGCCCAGGGAGGGGCTGGAGTCTCCCTCAGCATTGGGGATCCTGCAGAGCCCTGTGCACACAATGCTGTGCCCTTGCTCTGGGATGGCCCTGCCTGAGCACGGAGGTGCCACCAGGGACCCTCTGGGCCTCTGCCCAGCCTGGCTAAGTCTGAGATTTTGTTTCCCCTCATTCCTGTGCCTCTTGGATCCCATCATTAATGCCTCCAGTGCTCCTTGCCCTGGAGGATGTGCAGGATTCCATCAGGGCTTTCCTGGCTGTACATCCATGCCACAGAGGGTGTTGTGACCCTGGGACTGGAGCTCAGGGGCTCCTGAGTCACCCCAGTGCTGGCAGAGCCCTCAGGGAGGGAGAGTTTCCCTTTGCAGCCCAGCCCAGGGCCAGCTGAAGGAGCTGTGGCACTCTGGGATTCCAGCTCAGGGAAGAACCAGGGGAGGGCTCTCAGCCATTTCCCTTGTGTCCATGTATTTATCACCCTGAATAGTTCCCTAAAACACCTGCCCATGTTAGGCTGGGATCCCAGGGATGTTTAAGGTTGGCTCACCTGTTAAATGGATGCTGTGAAACTGCTTTGAGACCTAAATCTTTTGTTCCCCGTGGAACAATCCCAACATTGTTAAATCCAAGCTGTAAATCTCATTTGGGCAGTTGAGGCTGTTCTTCCCCACTCTGGGTTTGGGATTTATTCCTCAGCAGGAGCCATTTCTCCCCATGCCCCTCTGGTGCTGTGGCTCATGGCTGTGCTGTCACTGCACTAAAAATGGTGATTATTGATTGATCTGCTCTGGAATGGATCCCAGCTTGGTGGGAATGGGGTCACAGAATCCTGGAGGGGTTGGGTGGGAAGGGACCTCAAACCCATCCAGCCATGGCAGGGACACCTCCCATTGTCCCAGGCTGCTCCCAGCCCTGTCCAGCCTGGCCTTGGGCACTGCTAGGGATCCAGGGGCAGCCCCAGCTGCTCTGGGAATTCCATCCCAGCCCCTGCCCATCCTCACAGGGAGAATTCCCTCCCAGTGTCCCATCCAACCCTCTGGCAGTGGGAGGCCAATCCTCCTTTGGCCTGAAAGGCTTTGCTGGGTCCTCTGCTTTGCGTTTGCCCTTGAGTTTGCTGGGTGTTCATGGATCAAACCTGGAGGGAGCAAAGTCAGGTGTCAGGTGTGACATTGTCACCTCCCCAGCTCTGCAGAGCCTCAGTCCTCGTTGGGATCAGGGTTTTTCCTGTACAGGTGACACGATGTCTCCTCTGCCATTGCTCTCCTGGTGGCCTCACACCCATCCCCACCTTGGCACAAGAGAAATGAGCCTTGTGCCCCTTGATTGAAGCCAGGGCTGGTTCCCAGTGCTGTGATTGTGCAGTGTCCCCTCCTGGCTCCAGCCCCGCAGGGACACGCTGTAATTCCATGGGCAGGGATGGAGGAGCAGCAGCCACGGCTGAGTGCAGGATTTCAGGGGTGTCAGCAGTTTTCCCAACCAAAAAAGCTTTTAGCTCTTAGGCACAAAGTCAAGTGCCATTTGAAATGCACAGCCATCAAGTTTGGGGGGGAAAAAATCCACAATAACCAAGGAGCCGCTTTGTTTTCCCTCTTTTTTTGGATGAAATGCGTAATAAGCTCTTAGCTGAGATAAATCCTAATTGAGGCTTCAGCCAAAGCTGGGGCTAAATGGGCAGAGCAGGTCTGGGAGACAAATGCAGCTCCAGCTTGTCAACGAGAGCCATTCTTCACATGGAAAGAGGATTTGTGTCATTAAAGCTCTTCATCTCTCCCGTTTCCAACCACAGCCCTCCTGCCCAAACCCATCCCAAATCCATCCCAAATCCATCCCAAACCCATCCCAAATCCATCCCAAATCCATCCCAAACCCATCCCAATCCCTTGGCACGTGCCTCTGGTGCTGCTCCTGGGCCACAGTCCCACGCTGGGGTTGGGGTGACCTTGGCAAGGTCCCTCCTCAAGGGGTACCTGGGCATGGCCACAGATCCACCCTGTCCTGCAGAGCTCCCCACACCAAGGGCTCTCCCATGGAGGTGTCAAGGGCAGGAGGCTGGGAAGGCTCTGGGGGGCATTTTAGGAGCCTCCCTCCTGGAAAGTGGGGCAGGATCTGGTGCTCTGAAGGCTCCAGCAAAGCATCCAACAGTGCAGCCCTCATGGAGATACCACAGGGTCCTGGGATGGGTTGGAGGGACCTCAAAGTCCACCCAGTGCCACCCCTGCCATGGCAGGGACATGTTCCACTGTCCCGAGCTGCTCCAAGCCCCAGTGTCCAAAATCCACCAAAAATCATGGCAGAGAGAAGCTCAGAGGGGCTGGAATATGATTGAAACACTCAGGATGTTATGGAATCACAGAATCATGGAATTGTTTGGGCTTAAAGCCCATCCCATCCCACCCCTGCCATGACAGGGACACCTCCCACTGTCCCAGGCTGCTCCCAGCCCTGTCCAGCCTGGCCTTGGGCACTGCCAGGGATCCAGGGGCAGCCCCAGCTGCTTTGGGCACCCTGTGCCAGGGCCTGCCCACCCTGCCAGGGAACAATTCCTCATTCCCAATATCCCATCCATCCCTGCCCTCTGGCACTGGGAGCCATTCCCTGTGTCCTGTCCCTCCATCCCTGTCCCCAGTCCCTCTCCAGCTCTCCTGGAGCCCCTTCAGGCCCTGCCAGGGGCTCTGAGCTCTCCCTGGAGCTTCTCCTCTCCAGGTGAGCACCCCTGGGTGTCCCAGCCTGGCTCCAGAGCAGGGGGCTCTGCTGGGAGCAGCTCCTGGGCCTGCTCTGGGCTGCTCCAGCAGGATGAGGTTGTTCAGGGCTGAGAATTCCAGAGCTGGAGGCAGCTCTGCAGGGAGGTGTCACAAGGGCAGAGCAGAGGTGGAGAATCAGTTCCCAGCTGGCTCTGGGTGTTCATGCACCTGAGTCCCTCCTGTTTTCCTACTCTTGGAGTTTGGTTGTTCATTGTTGCCCCGAGATGTGCAGGATGTCTGTTTTGGCCCACATGTCTGAAGAACGAGTCTGGACTCTTCACTTTTTGGTCTTGAGGTTGTTGATTAAATCTTATCTAAAAAATTTTCTTTCTGCCCAGCCGAGATCTGCTCAGCACAGCAGCCACAGGCACTCTGTGTTGTCCTTTCATACTACAAACTGTGTATAACATATTTACACTTAATTCCCAACACCTATCACCTATGTTAGACAGTGCACTTCTATGCTAAACCAATCCCAAAGTGCCAACATCACTGCAGAAAATGGAGAACAAGAAGAAGAAGAAGAAAGACTGGAGACACCCAAGTTCCTCCATCTTGTCCCCAAAACCCCCATTCCAAAAATCCTAATATCTACATTTTCACCCTGTGATAATTTTATTATTACATTATTCAAACCTCTGTGACTTTCAGGTGCTCATACAAAGCTGGTAATTTGCTCCAAGGGTCATAATCAAATCCCCAGGTGCTCTGGGCTGTGTGCCAGGGTCTCTGAGCCCCCTGACAGGGTCTTTGGCAGCTCTGGACACCCGGAGGGATGCACTGAGTTCTGACATCCTACTCAAGCTGTATCCTACAGGAGCCTCTGGGTGGCTTTACTGCACCTCCCTGTGCTGCAGAATTAGAAAAACACCAGCTGGGGCTGCCAGTTATCCCAGCACAGCCTGGGCTTGGTGCTCTGGCTCTCCTGGCCCCGTGTCACTGTGCTGTGCTGCAGTTCCAGGTGGATGGCGAGTGGAGGACCTGGATTGACTACGGCCGCTTCCAGGAGCTGGTGCGGGAGCGCGAGCGCAGCGGCGGCACCAGGACCTTCACAGCAGCCGAGTACACGGCCAGGACTCCTCCCTGGGCCCTCTTTGGGGCCAAGGAGCGGGGATTCGACCCCCTGGATGTCAGATTCCAGAGGAAGAATAAGGCACGGGACGCCTCGGGGTGCTGAGGCTGGGCTCCCTCACCCTGGCCTTCCCAGGACTCCATTTCGGGCTGACACCATCTTGGATCCACCCACATGGATTATCCTGGTGTTTGGGAAGGGTCCAGCCTGGATTTAACCCTTCCCTCCTGTTTTTAGGGCTTCCTGGATGAAATATTGATAATGTTCTTCTCTCGAGATCAATCAGAACTGGTTCAGCTGCAGTGGGGGGGCAGTGCTGGGATCTCCTCAGTGGGGAATGTTTGGAGTGGGATGTGGGGCCAGAGGGGTCCTTGGGCTCCTCTGCAAGGAGAGCCTGGCACCAAAACATTCCACATCCCCATGGAAAAATGCCAGGGGATTTCAGCCCCACAGGGTTGGATCAGGGCCACAGCCAGACCTGGATGCAAAAGCTGATCCCTGCTGGGAGCATCATTTTAGGGATTTGTTCAGGTTCAGTGTGTTTCACACACTGGTGCCATTTCCTGTAAAAACCCCATTCCCAAGGAGCCAAACCTTGGGAATGGTGCACCAGCACCCCCATGGACACCATCTGCAGCTTCTGATACCTCTCCAAGTGTCTTTGAACCTCATGGCTTTGGGAAGGAGGTTTAGGAGCAGTGTTATCCCACTCCCAGCAGCCCTAAACAGCAGCTCCAGTCCTCCAGAGCCCTGTGGGCTCCAGCTGGGTGTGCCCAGTGTGGCAGATGGAGCATCCCTGACCTGGAGATTCCATTGCTTTTTAAAGGCAGCCTCTTTTCTTAAGCTGTACAAAGAGTTTCTAAAGCAGAAGGAAAATAAAGGAGTTTTTCCTAGAGTGCCTCTGGTGTGGCTGCTGGGCAGGGTCTGGCAGGGAGGGTGGGAGGTTGATTGGAAGGAGATGAGAAGCACAAATGTTGTGTAAGAGCTCTTTCCTAACACATGTGGGGTGGAAGGGGGAATATTGGATGGGTCCCCAGGTTATGGATGGTGAGTGCCTTTCCTGAGTATGTTTTAAAAAAATCACAGAATCCTGGGATGGTTTGGGTTGAAGGAACCTTAAAGCCCACCCAGTGCCACCCCTGCCATGGCAGGGACACCTCCCACTGTCCCAGGTGCTCCCAGCCCTGTCCAGCCTGGCCTTGGGCACTGCCAGGGATGAGAGGTGGAGGGAGGGCCCTGGGCAGCCCCTGGCAGTGCTGAGCCCCCTTTCCATGGGGAGATTCCTGCTGCTGTCCCCCCTGAGCTGCCCTGGCCCAGCCTGAGGCCGTTCCCTCTGCTCCTGTCCCTGTTCCCTGGAGCACAGCCCGACCCCCCCGGCTGTGCCCTCCTGTCAGGAGCTGTGCAGAGCCACAAGGGCCCCCTGAGCCTCCTTTGCTCCAGGCTGAGCCCCTGCCCAGCTCCCTCAGCCCCTCCTGGGGCTCCAGGGCGTTCCCAGCTCCATTCCCTGCCTTGGACACAAACCTCCAGTTAACCCTGCACCATCAGCTGGAATTTTGGGGCTTGGTGTGTTTGGTGTCCACCAGGACCCACCACGTTCCCCTCAATGGATCCTGGCCCTTCAGCACCTCTTCCTCTTTCCTGAATTCCCTCCATCCCACTCCCTCCTCCCTGGCACGACCCTCCCAGTCCATCCCAGTTCCCTGCTGGCCCTGGGAGCCCTGGCAGCTGCAGGAGCTGCTCTGGGAGAGAGAGGAGCCCCAGAGCTGGAGGACCCTGGGGCTGCCAGGGAACCAGCTCGTGCTGTGAGGTGCCCCACAGCTCCCTGGCAGTGCCTTCCCTGGGAATCCAGGGGCTCCAAAGTTGTATTTGCCCTGTCCTTGGCATTGGTGCCCCCCAGGACACCCAGTCCCTGCTGTCCCTGTCACACAGGGTCCCACCCCACGAGGCTCAGCTGGGAGGCCTCTCCTGATCTTCCCTCTGCTCCCTCCATTCCTCTCCCTGGTGCTCCCCGTGCTCCCTCCATACATCTCCTGATCTCCCCTGTGTCCTCACACTCCTTCCTTCCTCCTTATCCTCTGTGTGTGCCTGCATTCCCTCCATCCTCTCCATGTCCCCACACTCCCCCCATGTCCCTGCATTCCCTCCATCCTCTCCATGTCCCCACACTCCCCCCATGTCCCCACATTCCCTCCATCCTCTCCCTGCTCTCCCCCCTGGCACTGGGCAGGGAGGGCCCTGCAGGGGACAGTGTGGGTGGCACAGGGGCAGTGCCACAGCATTCCCATGGCAGTTGGCACCTGCCATGTCCTGAAATGGGGCTTTCCCCTGCCCTGTGGGACAGCACAGCTCTGTGGGATGGAACCAGGCATGGCTCCATGTCCAGGATGTGTATTTGGTGCATCATAGGATTTCCTGGATGAGCATTCAGCATCACATCACCACGGAGGCTGGACCCATCACATCTTCCTTTTCAAGTAAAAAGCTGAGTCAATTCAGTTTTCTTACAAATATTCACAAGGATTGAAAGGATTCAAAGGGAATGAAGAAGAAATAACATATCATTAAAAAAATTTACCTAAAGTTTGCCCTAAACTATGAATTTGTTGCATTAATGACTTTCAGGTCGTGGTATCAGGCATGTTCCAAATCCTGTGATCCACACCCACCTGGGCCACACCTGGAGCTGCTCCCAGAGCAGCCAGGGCAGGATTTGCTCCTGCAGTTCCCCTGGGGTTGCCTCATGCTCAGGGTGGATCTTCCAGTGCCCAAATCCACCCAGGTGAGCTGGTGCTCACACTCAGTGCTTCCTGAGGCACAAGAGAACACAAGGTCCCAGATCAGACCCCTCTGGCTGTTTGGGGACACCCAGAACTGGGCACAGAGCTGTGGGACCCTGCTCTGGCTGTGCCAGGGAGGCTCTGCCCTGCTGGGAGCAGGGATCTGCTGCCCTCCACAGCACCTCCTGCCTCCCCTGGAACTGCTCCTGGTGCAGCTAAACGGGGCTGCAGGGCTGGGATTGCCCAGGGAATGGATGCACCCTGGGAAAAGTGACCTGAGTTCAGAGAGGGTTCTGTTCTGCCAAGGGCAGTGAGAGGTCCTGGCTGGGAGAATCTCTCTGGTGTCACAGTTCAGGACCAGCCCACACTCTCATGCTGCCCTAAGTGTATTCGACTCAATACCTGTAATTCCACCCCCTTTTCCACAGGCTTTGATCTGGATCATGGAGCTGCTGGGGTTCCCCATCCTCCTCCTGCCCCCAGCACTGCCCAGGCGTCACACACATCTTTTATGGAAAATCCTTTCCTTCGCATTTTTCCTCCTGAGAAGCTGGGAGGCCTCAGGAACAAAACGCAAACAATGATTATCTGCTGCTGTGGAATGCAACAGGTGCATCTGTGATTGGTCTCATGTGGTTGTTTCTAATTAATGGCCAATCACAGTCAGCTGGCTCGGACTCTCTGTCCCAGACACAAGCCTTTGCTATCATTCTTTCCTTTTCTATTCTTAGCCAGCCTTCTGATGAAACCTTTCTTCTATTCTTTTAGTATAGTTTTAATGTAATATATATCATAAAATAATAAATCAAACCTTCTGAAACATGGAGTCAACGTTCTCATCTCTTCCCTCATCCTCAGACCCCTGTGAGCACTGTCACACCCAGCACCCCCAAAGAGCTGCCCCCTGCCCAGGTTTGGGGGGTTTTCCCCAAAGCCAAGGCACAGAGCATGTCCTGGCTGCCCCTTCCTGCCAAGGGGCACCTGGTGCTTCAAACCCAGCCTGGAGACTCAGGAAGTTCCACCTGAGGGGCAAAATGGACAAAAATCATTTGAACCCCTTAAAGCCAGGGAGAATTGGAGGAGCCCTGAGGAGTCCTGCTCCAGTTCCCCCTTCCCTGGCACAGCCTGGAGCCTCCTGGCTGCTCCTGGGCTCTCCCAGCTGTGCTCCTGCAGGATCCTGACTCAGGGCTGACTCACCTGCCATGGGGGCTGCGCTTCAATTTTGCATGAGGATAAATATATTTGTTTCCAAAAAACCTCCAGCAGGAAAACATTCCCCCAAGCAGAGCATTGTCATCCATCAGCTCTGGCTTCATCTGGCTCCGCTCCTAAATCATTTATGATGTTGGAGCTGCTGCTGTGCCCTGAAGGGGAAGGAAGAAGAGATGGGAATTAATTGAAGGAAGGGCATCGTCCTCATTTTGTCACCTCCTCATTTTGTCACCTGCAAACTGAGGAGCTGCCAGGGGGAGGGACCCAACTCAGCCAGGACATTTCTGCTCCTTCACTGTGGGGAAGGGGAGGCAAAAAATCCCAGGAAATCTTGCTAAGGAAGCCCTGGCCCTGCTGGAGCTGAGCTGTGTAGGGGGAGACAGTATGAAGGTGGCATAGAATGTAATCTTATCCCCCCAAAGAGTTGCAGCTGAACCAGTTACCAAAGATTAGGAGCAGGCCTGATGTTAACAGGCCACAGCTGTAGCCAATAAGAACACTGGTGTAAAAGAGTGGATTGGTGGGAACTGGACTTAAATGGCCACTGCAAGGACTAGGAACAGTCAGTGCTTAGAGGAGATGCCTATGAGAAACATTAGAAGGTACAGAACTGAGGCTATGGAACCCTTGCACTATAATAATAATAGAACTCTAGATATATAAGACAACAGAGCTGTGCCAGGCTGGGAGCTCAGCAGTTCCCCTGCCCTGGGTCCCCTCCCTGGCCCAGCCCAGCAGTCGGAGCAGGGGCTGGAGTGGCTGGAGCTGCTGGCCCCGGGTCCAGCAGGGACATTGGGGAGGAGGGGACCCAGCCAGGGGCCAGTCCAGCTCCTCCAGGCCAGAGCTGCCCCCCTGAGAGCCGGGAGCAGCAGCAGGGAGGCCAAGGAGGGTGGGGGTGATTCCAGCCCCTGGAGTGCAGGGGATTTATGGCTCTCATCCACCCAGTGCCCAAGTCCAGAGGGGGCCCTGGAGCTGCTCCCAGGGAGAGCTCAGAGCCCCTGGCAGGGCCTAAAGGGGCTCCAGGAGAGCTGGAGAGGGACTGGGGACAGGGATGGAGGGACAGGACACAGGGAATGGCTCCCAGTGCCAGAGGGCAGGGCTGGATGGGATATTGGGAATGAGGAATTGTTCCCTGTGAGGGTGGGCAGGCCCTGGCACAGGGTGCCCAGAGCAGCTGTGGCTGCCCCTGGATCCCTGGCAGTGCCCAAGGCCAGGCTGGACAGGGCTGGGAGCAGCCTGGGACAGTGGGAGGTGTCCCTGCCATGGCAGGGGTGGCACTGGGTGGGCTTTGAGGTCCCTTCCAACCCATTCTGGGATTCCTTGCAGCTCAGTTCTGCCTCAAAGATGTATTTCCACCTTCTCCCCATCCCATTCCAGCACAGGCTCCAGGCCCTCTGGAGCTGCTGGGGAGGGTGGATGCCTCCCCTGGGCATGGGGACTCAGACATCCAGGAGCAGTGACTGGGGGCATCTTCTAATACAAATTTTTAAACCAAAAAAAAAAATCCCCATTGCTTCAGGACACATTGAAGTCAATGAGAAGGCTTGCAAGGAATTACTCCAGGAAAAAAAAAAAAACAAAAAAAGAACAAAGAAAAAACCCTAAACAAACAAAACAAACAAAAAAATAAACCCACCAAAGAAACTCCAACTAACCAAACAAAAAAAAAAAAACCAAACAAACCCAACCGAAAAACCAAACAAACAAATAAAACAAACCAAAGAAAATATTGAAAAAATTCAGAAACCAGCAACTACTTATAAAAAGGTGGTGAAATCCTGACAGGAGAAATGCTCTATCCTCTCCGTGTCTCTGCTGTTCCCATCACCGGGACTTTTAGGGATGCTGATAACAACATAATCCTCACCTCTGGGGTGCCATCTGGGAGA